CCCATATAAAGTGGAGGAAGATGGGCACAGATGTTAGCCCAGGGCCAGTCTTCCTCAGCAAAAAGAGGAGGATTGGCATGGATGTTAGCTCAGGGCTGATTTTGCTCACAAAAAGATAAATAAATAAAAATAAATAAATAAAAATAAGTGAGTTATATAGTTAATAATACTGTATTGCGTATTTGAAAGTTGCTAAGAGTAGATCTTGTAAGTTCTCATCACAAGAAAAAAAAATTTTTGTAACTACGTATGGTGATGAATGTTTAACTAGACTTATTGTGGTGAGCATTTTGCAATGTATACAAATATTGAATCATTATGTTGTACACCTGAAACTAATATAATGTTATATGTCAATTATACCTCAATAAAAAAAATTTTAAATAAAGGAAACAGCAGGGGAAAATGAGATGATTCAAAGAAAAATACTAACTAAACAGTATTATGCAAAACTATCAAACGAGTGATGCCAAAAAAAAGTGATGCACAAAGACTAACCTTTGGGAAATGCTCCACTAATAAAGAAATACAAAATAAAACAATATAAAACGTTTCCCCAAAAAAGTACATTTGTAATCATTTTACTGTATACCTACAGGTGCAAACTTCCCTTCTAACGCATTTAAGGATGCTCCCAGAAGACAGATAATAGGTAGGCAACTGGCACGTACTTACATCTTCACTCACAAACTTCTCATATTCACCACTGAGCTTCTCTCTCATTTCATACACATATTCTTCCACTGCATTCTTAGCATCATTCCTCTCCTTCTCCAGTTTATCCTGCATGATCATCTTACCCTGAGAACAGCATAAATTAGTTAGACATTTGGAGAACTGAGACAATTTCCTCTTAAATATTAAGTAATATAATCGTAAAAGTAGAGAAGCCTTCTTCCCCAAATCCTTTTAGTTCTGCAAATCATCCAGAAAGGAGAGCTGGAAGCATTAGTCCTCAGTAAATTATGAAGATCAAGTGAGAGTTTTGTGGGTGTGCTTAGAAGAAAAAGAGCAAAAGAAATATCAAGAAGTAGAAACCAAAAGCGAAAACAAGGAAAATAATTTAAGACAAGAACTTTAAGAAACCATTATTAGCTCAGTGTCACAAGGTAGTATACTCAGCTGTATTATTACTGTAGAATACCAAGAAAAATCAAATTACTCATATACTATAAATGCTAAAGGTTCTATAAAACAAAACTATTCTAAAATCCAATGGATACATAAGAAATGTCACAGATAATTTAGTAATTGTGCTCCAGGGTCCCAAACCTCACATGACTCACCATAACAAGAGTTACATATTGACTAGCAATAGGGGAAGGAACTAATGACAAAATAGTGCTATCATTAATGCTATGTGATTTCTCCTGCCGATCAACTTCCATAACCCACCAGCTCAAACATCTCCATCTCTAATAAACAAATATACACAAACATGAACGATACCTCCCCTAAACCAAAGACATAATGTCAAAGATCTCATAACAGAGCTTCTAGCAATACAGACATAATATCACCACAGAAGTATTTTGACACTACATGGGATCTATCAAATTTGCCCTTGCAGGACCCAAAAATCTAAAATTATTTTCTCAAACTCCAAACAACCAAAACTGCATAAAGGTCACTAGACACAGGGTTTGAACACTATGGTCACACTGTCACATTAATTTGTTAGCTTAGTTGTTCTAAGAGACTTGAAATAACAACCTCATTTTCAATGTACAGGTTGAGCATCTCTCTGTCTATCTGCCATAATAGCTGACTCTCGATTGGCAAGTCCACAGTACTGGTCTTCACTTTTGCCTTCTTGGCTTGAGGTGGTTGGTCCATCTTTTTGTCTTTTGATCCAGCTTGAGAGGTCTAAAATAACAGAAATCATCAAGAACAAACACATATAGAGACTACCTTAAACTTCCAAATGGGTCACATTTCAAAAGCTGTTTTTGCTTTTGTATTAACTTAGTTTGTTTTCTGATGATCCAAACAACCTAGGACTATTTCTTTTAGTATCTGGAAAGTTAAGCTATATGAGTAGTCAAATCCATAGAGAGAGAAAATAATGATGGTTGCCAGAAGCTGGAGGGAGGCGAGATGTGGGAATGGAGAGTTGCTGTTTAATGGGTACAGAGTTTTGGTTTAGCAAGATGAAAAAATCCTGGAGCTTGGTTGTACCACTGAATACACTTAACACTACTGAACTGTAGACATATACATATACATTTATAAATACACACACACATATATATATATAAAACAACTTCCCATAATCCCACAATCAACATATAATCACTATTAAATCTTTAATTTTCTTCCACTCATCTAAACATACAGGTGTGCATATTAAATTAGTGGCGAGAGGATACGAAATTTTGATGGATGAGAAATTTATTATCAATATGATTTCCAAAATGTCTGTACCTATCTACATTCTCACAAGGAGTGAGAGAATCCATTCCACTGCACCCTGGCCACAAACAGGAATTCATTTACCGTTATCTCACGATTATTTTCTTTGGGTCAATAACCTTTTTTTTGCACACTTATAAACCATACTTATTTCTTCAAATTGCCTAGTCATGTTTCATCCACTGTTCTCTTAGGACTTTAGTGATTGTTTCCCCAAGTGATGGATTCTCTAGTTTTTTCTAATTCTAAATTATTTGTCCATACAAGTTTTTATTGTTGAATACATCCATCTCTTCCTTTGTGATTATGTTTTTATGCTTTAAAAGCCTCTCTCTGACACACATTAGAAAAATATTCACTCCAGTTGTCTGTTTTTTCCTTTTAACTTTCGAATTCTTCTGGAATTCAATTTGCTCTACGACATGAGGCAAGATTTCTTAGTCATTTCCCTACATCCTATCCAAGTAACTTATGTCAGTTGCTGAAATTTATGTATCTTTTCTATTTCATTTCCCTTACAAATAATACTATGAAAGGCACGTGTTCTCAAGCCACCTCATGGAAGAAGCCTAAGTAACAACCCCCCTGAAACTTCCCATAGCTCCACGGCATGGGGGGAAAGGGGAGGGGGGCACCTCTCCTTCCTCCTTTTTCTCCTTGACCATCTTCCAAACACATAGAATAAGAACTTCTCTCTCCCACTGCTGCCACCAACCCAGCCAAGAACATAAAGGGTTTTCCACCTTGGAAAAGGACTGTAGTAGACTAAAGCATCTGTAAGCATGATTTCCTCTGTTCATTATTTTGTTTTTTACAATTACTTGCACAGTTAAAGGAAAGTAGTTAAAGTTTGTTAACTGATATGAAAATGGATAACAGACTCAAAAGCCCCCTAAAGGCTCTGCCAAACTTTTTTAAATGCCACAATCAGAAATCTCACCTTAGAAGGTGAGATTATATATTGCAATATCATAAATAATTTGAAAGAAAAGGCGTTTTCAATGCTGACAACAAATTTAAACATGAAAACTCGAAAGTTAAGAATTAAAGAACAGGTTATAAAGGATTCAAAAATGTTATGTATTCATTTAAATAAATGCTTGGGATAAATATATTATTTACAAAATATATTTCAAAACATTATTATTTAAAACAATACCTTTTGACAAAAAGACAAGTTTCAGAGAGTTGACAAAATCTGAAAAAATTTTATCTCATTGTTTACCGATAGAGAATAAATTATGAGTAGGATGACTATTAGTAACAGCCATTCAGAAACTAGCATGAATCAATCACTAGCCTAGTAAAACTAGGGCTTCTGAGTGCTTTCTTCCCACATACCAACTAGACTACAGTTCAAAGACCATCCTGCCAAATGTACTTTCCAAGAACACTACAAAATCTTGCTTAAAAGCTGTTCAAAAAAATGAAGAATTCCTGATATAACTACCTTCCAAGACATGGTATCTCAGCCAAAACCATGTATGTGAAGAGACTGCAAATCATACTCTAAAACACAACTTATACCTCCATTTCTTCAGACTCTGCCTTATTTTCTGCTGGCGTCTGCTGTTGTTGCTCTTCAACATGTGGTTCCTCCTGGTCCACTTGCATCTTCTGAAAAACAAGTCACATCAAATTCTGAAACTAGGCAATACTCAGCAAATCTTCATGACACACTGACAAAATTCCATGGCATGGAATTCCTGCTCAATTACCAGTAATCAGAAGACCTAGACTCAAATTCCAGCTATGAGACATATTACTTAGAACATGGACATTTTCCTCTCTGGGTCTCAGCTAATACATCTGTACCATGGAGTTAACACTTGTCCTGCCCTACCCTTATATAAATAGCAGTGGCTGTGGAACTGCTCTGTAAACCAAAGTAGTACTCAGAGTGCAACAGTGTGGCAATATTTAACACAATATAATCTGAAGAAAGCTTGAGTTTCTCCAAGCTCCCTCATGAGTAAATTTCTCTCCAAAGTCTTAACTTTTTCAAGCAGTTTTTAAGTCAGCCTTTTCATCCTCAAAAGGAGAGGTGAACACCTTGAGAACTCTGTTGAAAGACCAAAGCCTAACAATAATGATAAAGAAGGGAGAAGTCTGTGGAGACCCTGGATCACCTTGGGTCTCCAAGGTGGCTTGTAAAACTATTGATATCTGGGCCCTAGCCCAGACCAACTTCTAACAAGATCTGAGGATGAGACCCAAACATCTGTAGTTTCACAAAGCCTCGATTTTGATGTACAATAAGGACGAGATCCAGTGCATGATTCTAACAAATGAGTGTAAAATCTATTATTCTTGTGAAAATAATCAACTGAGACTCATAGCCTTCTTCAGTAATCAGAAAGAATCAAGGATAACTCAAGTTAAGAAGTACATGGTCTGAAGGAGGAAGCCAACTATGTTCCATTTCTATATAAATTCTGTGTAAAGACTTTGCTGCTAGTTCATCCATGCTGGGGGAAGGAGATAAATGCAAACAACTCTCAGCAGCTCTGTCACAATGTTCCTCCTCCCTGGTCACTCAGTCAGTCTATTTGTTAGAATTTCTAGACAAGTCACTTCTGGGCCATCATAAACGGTATAAAATGTCCAGATTACCTCTTCCTCCTTCGCATTCTGATCTGTTTCCATTGGTTCCTCATTTTCCTCAAACTTGTGCACTTCCACTAGAGATGCACTGGACACACTGAAAATGCCATGGATATTTACTCGAACCTTGACTTTCACTTTTGAACTGGAGCCATCAGACTGAGGAGTGACTTTCTGAACTGAAAACTGAGCTAGGGACATATAAGAAAGAAAAAAGAACACATAACCTGAGAGGACAGATTCAAACTTAAATATATGTCCATATTGCCAGGTTATGCCCATTTCTCAACGATAGGTCAGTAACACGATACTTCACATAAGCAAAGTGGGTACTCTTAGAATTTATTAAATCATCAGATTTCTGCTTCCTCTTTCACATATAGTTAAATTGTTATTATCTTATCCCAACTAAGGACTCAAACACCTCCTAACCCTCCAAATGTTTCCTTCCCTCCAGCCCCTTATTCCAATTCAACTTTATATGCTACTGCCAGATAAATTCCTAAAACAGATTTGTCACATTCTCCTCTACTGAAAAAAAAACCCCAATGATCCCATAATGCTTCTATAATTTATAAGAAACTGCCATTTCTAAATTCAGTTACTATACCAGGATTTTACTAAAATTTTTTAATTCACAAAACTCTGCAAAGTATAAATTATCTTCATTCCTGTTTTACAAAGGAGGAAAACAGAGTAGGTTAACTTTCCACAGCTTCTAAGTGCCATTCAGGATATTCCTAATACTTTAGCCATGTATTCCAGGTCTGTAATTATCGTGTAACTCTAGTTTCTCTCTCAACTGGTATTATTTCCAAATTATAAGATTTTCTCAGAGTCTGTGAGGACACGGCTCCTTAACCTATGAGACTGATATCACAATTTCCTAACGATTTTCTGAGTGCATCTTATAACTCTATGATAGGATCAGAATTGAATTTTTTTAACTCCTTTCAGTATCTAGCACCACATTATGCACAAGGTATACTCACAATGTGCATTAACCAAGAAATACTGCCCACACAATAGGAGATCCAATTAAATAATGACCATCCTGCTGTAGTTCAAAATCTGTTAACAAGACTGGAAGAGGTATTTTTTTGTGATCTAAAATACCCAGATTTCAGAATACTGTACTTGCTCTACTACCCCAGTTCTTCCACGTACACATAATTTTTTTTTAATTCCCAGCTCTTTACTTACCTATAGCAGGATCTGGATAGGGCAAATCTGGAGGAGAGCAATAATAGGCCTCAAGAGTGAAAGGTTCCTTTCTATAAAATGTGAGTACTCTAGAGAAAGGAGCAGCATGATTTTTGGAAAAGACTTCACAGTCACTGAATGGAGGAAGAAGACAAAAACACACAAATTTAGGATATTCCCAACACTTTTACTCATGTTCTAGGTTTGTCATTATCATACAGCTCTAGTTACTCCTCTCAACTGGCATCATTTCCAGATTCTAAGAGTGACTGAGAAAAGAAAATATATACATATATAAATATATATAAATACACATTCATACACATATATATAAAGTCAGTTTTTAAAAAAGCAATCAGTACATAAAAGGCACCAATTATTTCATTAGGATCAAGTTGAGGAAATTAAATAGGGACACAAATTTATTCTTACGACTAAGTAATCACTTTGCTTCATGCACTATACCAAAATGTTACAGATTTCTGTTAAGTTGAAATGGAGAATAGTATTTTACTCAGACTTAACACTGAGTTAACTTGAAGTGTAAAAATGATTAATAAATGTTATTACCTTGACCCTTCTTCAGCTGGAGAATTCCATCTCAGAAATATTGGATATGGTACTACATCAGTGATAGAAAATTCTCTGACTTTGAAAGCAGGCGATAAGATTGCACACTAGAATAGTAATTTTTAAAAATTCCATTTGACAATATGAAGTGATATCATGAGATCTATAAATAATGACTTTAGAAGACCATCATCAATGGTTTTTAAATATTTACATTAATAACAATGGTGTCTGAATGAGCGGTTTTACAAACTTCTACCATTTGTCAAATTACCTATATAATCTAGCTATTCTTTATCATTTTTTTATTAACCCCAATCTTTATTTAATTGAGGCACAACACTACTTCAAATGTAGACAATAGATAATATGCCAAACTTTAGTAGTATTTCAGGCTTACCTACGTTTCTAGTAAATTAATTCATCTTATTACATGTTATGGAGTATAATTCCATTTATGAAGCCCACCTCTGATAACCATTTTAAAACAAAAGTTTCAAAATGTGACCCTTGAGATTACCTGAGGTAACTTTAGATTATTAGTTAGATACATAAAACCATTGCCGTCTTATTACAATGACCTTTAAATGGCTACCTGTGAAAGAAAGAAAACTCACCTGCAGTGCACAGCCTCGAGTGACAGCTTCATCGGCATTTAGCGTCGTACTAAGTTCTTTACCAAAAAATTTGCTGATCTTCTCTTTCACTGCAGGGATTCGTGTCGCACCACCAACTATCTCCACTGCGTGAATATCTTCTTTCTTTAACTCTATTTTAAAATGATTAATATAGACATTTAGAGTAAAATAATCTTTAAATTAGTATTTTACAATGAAATAAAACAGCAATATAACATCTTATCACAACAAAATAACTCACAGATGTATAACAAAACCCCACCACTCCTTTCACCCCCTCCACAACATGCACATGTGTGCACAGGTGTGCAGCATGTGGAAACAAGTAGGTATGTTTTGATGCTCAAAATAATGGGAGCAAGGAGGCACAAAAATATTGGGACTTAAGAGGTGAGGGACAAGAATGTCCTGCAGTTTGCAATCTCTGAAATAGTCCCACTCAAAGAACTGTTAAAACATAAATAGCTAAGCTAGCCATAAGGAAAACAAGAGGGCCTCAAAATAATGGGTTATCCCCACCATAGCATGAAAAAGAGGTATTCAGACGCACATCTAGCCACTCCAGCACTCCACATTATAACACAGGTATAGTATCCTCACATCAGAAGGAAAGAAGTTACACACCAAGGCTCTGCTGTCACTCATAAAACACCTCTTAATTTTTAATACCTTGTTTTCTGGTCACATTTTATGCAACAAACACAATTTGCTGAAAAGGGCTATTTAAAGAAATGGGCTATCCAAGTATGGAAAGAACATGCTAGTTTGCCATAATTGTTCTTATTTAAGACCTGAGCCTGTGTCAAGGTGACAATACATCTCAACACTCTGAAACAGTCAGGAACTAACACAACAGTAGATCCTAGGTAAACGTCTGTTGAAGGTTTGGGGAAAATTAGTAATGTATTCCTAAATCAAACTTCCACCTTTTAGCCAGAGATAAAAATTAAAGCATCCTATTAAAGTAAGTATGTGGTTATCATATCCTCCCTTTGCTCTATTTCTCATTCAGTAAAGGATTCACTGACAGAAAGAAAGCCTGAAAGACTACAGCAGCATTGCAAAAGACAATTTCTACCATCATGTAATAAGTGAATTAATATCCATCTTTGAGTCTGAATTAGGTTTCTTGGGAAAACCTATTAGATTTCACTGCACATATTATCAAAAGATTACTTGGGGTGCGGGTTGGTACTCCAGGGGGAAGACACAGATAAAAAGAAGCTTAATATAGCACTGAAGTAATTCATATGACGAAAATTTGTCTAACTGAAAAAAGTTATCAACAACATTTTCCAAAGAGCCTGAGATACATAAACAATTCAAACACAAAAACACTTACTGGCTTGTTCCAAAACACTACGAAGTGGTGGCTCCACTCTAGCTAAGAGATCATCACACATCTCCAGAAATTTGCCTCTATGAAAAAAGCAACAATAGGTTAAATCATATTCCACTTTTATGTGAAATAAATGGCTATAATCAAAAAGACAGACAGTAACAAGTATTGCCAAGGCTGTAGAGAAACTGGATCCCTCATACATTCCTGGTGGGAATGTAAAATGGTGTAGCCACTCTGGAAAAGAGTTTGGCAATTCCTCAAAATGTTAAATGTAGCGTTACCATATAAGCCAGCAATTCCACTCTAGGTATATATCCAAGAGAAATGAAAACATGATCACACAAAAACTTGCACATGAATATTCACAGCAGCATTATTCAGAACAGCCAAAAAAGTAGAAAAACCCCTAATGTCCATCAAGTGTATTCAGCAATAAAAAGGAATGAATACAATAAAATACAAAAAGGAATGATACACATTAGAACGTGGTTGAACTCTGAAAACATTATGCTACGTGAAAGAAGCCAATCGAAAAAGAACACATATTGTATGACTCCATTTATATGAAATGTTCAGAAGAGATATATCCAGAGAGACAGAAAGTAGACTAATGGCTGCCTAGGGCTAGGGGAGGAAGAAGAAATGGGAAAGACAGCTAATGGGTACAGTTTCTTTTTTTTTTAATTAATACACTTTATTTTTTAGGTCAGTTTTAGCTTTACAGAGAAATAAATGCAAACTACAGAGAATTCCCTTACACCCCTCACCACCTCCCCAGTTCCCCTATTAACATCTTGCATCAGTGTGGTACACTGCTGCCAACTGATGAGCCAACATTGATACATACGATAGTACAAATTATGGTTTTACAGCTTTTGACAAATACATAATAAGTATCCACCATTACAGTATCATACAGAATAGTTTCACTGCCCTAAAAATCCTGTGCTCCACCTAATCAATCCCTCCCTCCCTCTGAACCCCTGCCAACCACTGATCTTTTTACTGTCTCCATAGTTTTGCCTTTTTTGGGTATCATATAGTTGGAATCATACGGTAAGTAGTCTTTTCAGATTGGCTTCTTTTGCTTAGAATAATGCATTTAAGGTTCCTCCACATCTTCTCACAGCTTGACAGTTTCTTTACGAGGCGATGAAAATATTCTAAAACTGGGTTGGGGTGACAGCTGCACAATTCTGTGAATATACTAAAAACCCCTGAATTATACACCTTAAAAGTGTGACTTTTATGAATTACATCTCAATAAAAAGAAAAATAGTAGAGGTATATACTCACCAGAATGGTGAAAATTCAAGACTGCTAACACCAATATTGGTGAGGATATGTAGCAAATGAAACTCTTACATGTTGGTAGGAGTTTAAGATGACAGTTTTACTCCCAATAGCAAAAAACTGGAAAGAGCCAGTGTCGATCAATAGAGAAAAACAATAAACCTACAATGGCACACCAGTCAGCAATACACAAGAAGGAACAAATGATATATGCAACAACTATATGAATCTCAAGTTTTATGCTGAGTAAAAGAAGCCTTACACGAAAGATTACGTACTGTATGACTCCACTTATAAGAAGTTCTAGAACAGGTAATTTTAATCTATGGCCCCAAAAAATGAAAAATCACATTCAGTGGCTGACCCTGGGGATGGAAGCCTGAGGAAACTTTTCCAAGATGACGGTCTATTTCACGATAAGGGTACCAGTTATAACAATGTATGCATTTGTCAAAACTCAGCAAACGAAAACTTAAAACTTGAGTATGTCCTTATGTAAAAAATATATCAGGGGCCAGCCTGGTGGCACAGTGGTTAAGTTCACACGTTCCACTTTGGCGGCCCAGGGTTCGCCAGTTCGGATCCTGAGCACAGACCTACTCACTGCTCATCAAGCCATGCTGAGGCAGCGTCCCACATAGAAGAACTAGAAGAACGTACAACTAGAATATACCCCTATGTACTGAGGCTTTGGGGAGAAAAAAGAAAAAGAGGAAGACTGGCAACAGATGTTAGCTCAGGGCCAATTTTCCTAAAAAATATATATATGTCAAAAAGAAAAACCATAAAACACTGAACTCTGGTTAATATGCACACTTTAGTATTCTGGGAGAAGTGTACAGATAAATGGCTGCAATTTTTTGAGATGCATCAAAAAATAAAATTGATGGGTAGATAGAAGGATGGATAGATGAATAGATATGTCATAAAACAAGTATAGTTAATGTTATCAGTAGAACCGAAGTAGCAGGATAAAAATGTTCACTGTAAAATTTTCACTTTTGCTGCATATTTGAAAATATCCATAATAAAAACATGAAACGCAAAAGTGCCGAGAGGACTCTAGAAAAATGGCAGCAGCAGTACAGCTTTTTTTCTTTTTAAAAAGTTTTACTGAAATATAATTCACATACCACAGAATTCACCCATTTAAAGTGTACAATTCAAAGGCTTTTAGTATATTCATAATTATGCAACCATCACCACAATCAACTTTTAAACATTTAAAAAATTTTAAAACATCACCCTAAAAAAGAATATTTTCATCACCATTAACCATTATTCCCCCAATCCCCACTGTTTCCCCTAGCCTACGGCAACTACTCATTCTAGACATTTCATATACTTAGAATTATACAAAATGTAGTCCTTTGCAACTGATTTCTTTCATCTAGCATAAAGTTTTCAAGGTTCATCCACGTTATAGCATGTATCTGTACTACATTTTTTTAATTGCCAAATAATTTTCCATTGTATGGACATACCATATTTTGTTTATCCCTTTTATCAGTTGATGGGCATTTGGGTTGTTTCCATTTTTTGCCTATTATAAGCAATGCTGCTATGAACATTCATGTATGAATTTTTGTGTAGACATGTGTTTTCATTTCTCTTGGTTATATAGCTAGGAGTGGAATTGCTGAATCATATGGTAACTCTATGTGTTACCTTTTGAGGAACTGTCAGACTGTTTTCAAAATAGCTGCATCATTCTAGATTGCCACCAAGCAGTGTATGAGGATTTCTCCACATCCTCTCCAACATCTGTCTTTTTTTGACTATAGTAATTCTGGTGGGTGTGAAGTGGTATCTCATCGTGGTTTTGATTTGCATTTCCCCAACAGCTAATGATGTTGAGCTTCTCATGTCCCTATTGGCCATTTGTATATCTACTTTGGAGAACTGTCTATTCAGATCCTTTGCCCTTTTTTTAATTTGGTTATTTGTCATTTTATTATTAAATTGTAATAGTTCTTTATATATTCTAGATACAAACGGTATAGTTTTTTAATCTCTTCATATCCCATCAAATAAATATACAGAGCAACTACAATAGGTAAACCAAAAGCCCATTAACATCTACAACAAAAACAGTGTCCCCCACAAACCCCAAAATACAAATGGGTAGAAACCAACCACCAATAGTTACAATTCCTGCACAGTATCAGCATCTGTACAAAACAAAGCAGAAGGAAACAACAGGACATAAAATAGACTTGAAAACTCCAGAATAACCAAATCTCAGCAGGCCAATTTGAAAACAGCAGCTGAAACTAGGAGGGGCTGGCAAACTCCAAAACAAAAGAGTATATAAAAGGTCTTCAATACCGTGTATAAGAACCATGGCATGTTGAGGCTGTGTCCCACATACAGCAACTAGAAGGATGTGCAGCTATGACATACAACTATCTACTGGGGCTTTGGGGAAAAAAATAAATAAATAAAATTATAAAAAAAAAAAAAGAACCATGGCAAATGGGGCCCAATAAACTCTCTACAATAACTAACTTAAAGTTCCCTTCAAGGAAAAAGGGCCACAACGAGGAAAAACTGCTAAGAAAATCCAAATTGAAGAGAATAACAACAGTAGAAACAAAAGAAAACAGGATGGAGGGAAACAAATCAAAGTTAAGAAGCCACATTTTTTAAATATTTCATAAAAACTAAAGAAGGCACTCTGGAACATGGAAATTAGAAAACCTCTTCAATCATATTTTCCTTCTAAAAGTTCAGGAATACTTAATTCACATAAAAACGAGTAAAAGAATAGGCAAATCCATAGAGACAGGAAGTATACTGGTTATGGCGTAGGGATCAGGGAGAAATGGAGATGACTGCTAATGGATAAGGGGTTTCTTTCTCAGGTGATGAAAACATTCTAAAATCAGATTGTGTTCACTGTTGCATAACCTTGTAAATATATACTTAAAAAAACGCCAATGGATTGTACACTTTAAAAAGACAAATTTTGGGGCCAGCCCTGTGGCTTAGTGGTTAAGTGCGCACGCTCCGCTAATGGCAGCCCGGGTTCGGATCCCGGGCGCGCACCGACGCACCGCTTGTCTGGCCATGCTGAGGCCGCATCCCACATACAGCAACTAGAAGGATGTGCAACTATGACATACAAACTATCTACTGGGGCTTTGGGGGGAAAAAATAAATAAATAAATAAATAAAAAGACAAATTTTACAGGGCCAGCCCTGTGGTGTAGTGGTTAAGTTCGTGCGCTCCGCTTCGGCAGCCTGGGTTCATGGGTTCGGATACTGGGCACAGACCTACACCATCTGTCAGCAATGCTGTGGCGGCGACCCACATACAGAATAGAGGAAGACTGGCACAGATGTTAGCTCAGGGCAAATGTTCCTCAGCAATAAAAAAATAAATAAATCAGACAAATTTTACGGTATACGAATTATGTCTCAGAGGAAAAAACAATACAGAAAATGAAAGAGCAACAAATCAGAATTAGAAAAACTCAGAAAAGAATTAGAGGGCCGGCCCCGCGGCTTAGCGGTTAAGTGCACAGGATCCACTGCTGGCGGCCCGGGTTCGGATCCCGGGTTCCCACCGACGCACCACTTCTCTGGCCATACTGAGGCCGCGTCCCACATACAGCAACTAGAAGAATGTGCAACTATGACATACAACTATCTACTGGGGCTTTGGGGGAAAAATATAAATAAATAAATAAATAAATATTAAAAAAAAAAGAATTAGAAATAAAAGAACAAATGTCAGAAATGAAAACTAACCTAGAAAGGACACAAGAGCAAACAAACACAACAAACAATGGCTTAAAGGAATGACTGGACATAGAACGGCAAATACAGAACATAGACAAAGAAGATCCAACATAGTTATGCAGGAGTTTCCAAAGAAGAAAATCAAAGCACAAGAACAGAACAAATTCTGAACAATGTAATTCAAGAAAACTTAATTGAAATTCCAAAAGCTGTGAAACTATATACTGAAAAGGCACACTGCATACCTGGGAAAAACTGATCCAAAACAACCAACACCACAACATATTCTAGTAAAATTATTAGACTTTCAAGAAAAAAAATTGGGGTATCTAGCAAAAAAGAACAAGTAACATATAACTGAAAAGTCTGTTGCTGTTAGTGCCATCAAGCCAATTCCAACTCCTAATGACCCTGTGTACAGCAGAGCGGAACCTGTCCAGTCTTTTTGCGTCACCTCTCACCTTCCAGTGCTATCTCAGACAATGCTCTGCAGCTATTCATAGGGTCCTGAAAAGTAGATGGTCACAATTTGACGGTAATGCTATGTAACAAAAGAAAACAGAGCATTACTCCATTTAAGATACTCAAAAAAAGAATACAAGCTAAGGATGTTCTAGTCAGCTAAAGCGACTTTTAAGTATAAATGTGGGAAACTCATCAACATTCAAGAACTTAAGGAACACTATTCACACATGCCACTCTTTAGGAATCTATAGAAGAACGTCCTTCCAACAACCAAAATGATGAAGAGACATTAACACAAAATTAGCAGTAACACAATGAGATACCACTTTATACCCACCAGGATAGCAATAATCAAAAAATTTGAAAATAAGTGTTAGCAAGGAGGTGGAGAAGTTGAAATCCTTGTACATTGCTGGTGAGAATATAAAATGGTGCAAGTGCTGAGGAAAATAGTTTGGCGACTCCTCAAAAAGCTAAACATAGAATCAGCATATGACCCAGCAATTCCACTCCAAGATATATACCTAAAAGAAGTGAAAACAAGATAAACAAATACTTGTTCATGAATGTTCATAGAAGCACTATTCACAATAGCTAAAAGGTGGAAACAACCCAAATGCCCATCAACTGATAAATGAATAAACAATATGTGCTAAATCCAAATGGAATATGATTTGCCATACAATGCAATGAAGTACTAGTACATGCTACAACATGGATGAACCTTGAAAACATTGTTAAGTGAAAGATGCCAGACACAAAAGAAGCCAAACACATAATGTATGATTCATTTATATAAAATATCCAGAATAGGAAAATCTATAGAGATAAAAAATAGATTGGTGGTTGCCAGGGCCAGAAGTAAAGGAAAATGGGAAGTAACTGCTTAATGGGTATGAGGTTTTATTTTGGGGTGATGAAAACGTTTTGTCACTAGATAGAGAAAGTCACTGCACAACACTGTGAATGTACTAAATGCCACACAGTTGTTCACTTTAAAATGGTATATATGTGAATTTTATCTCAAAAAAAGAAAAAAGCTCATTAGAAGAAATGCTATAATGTCAGAAATAATCTGGTTTCATTAGCCTAAAAAAAAGACTGCTAGTGAGCATTAAAGACTAAATGAAGACTATAGAATAGAGAATATAAGAGCTATATGCTCTGACAATATAGATACAGTACAACTGTTTTTTAAAAAAAAAAGCAGGGGCCGGCCCGGTGGCGCAGCAGTTAAGAGCGTGCTCCGCTTTGGCAGCCCAGGGTTCGCAGGTTCAGATCCAAGGCACGCACCGACACACCACTTGTCAAGCCATGCTGTGGCAGCGACCCATATAAAGTAGAGGAAGATGGGCACAGATGTTAGCCCAGGACCAGTCTTCCTCAGCAAAAAAAAAAAAAGGATTAGCATCGGATGTTAGTTCAGGGCTAGTCTTCCTCACCAAAAAAAAAAAAAAAAAAAAATTTAACTGTTTTCAGTTTCTAATAAGTATTCAGCAGTACCCCTTATCCACAGTTTTAGTTACCCAGGGTCTGAAAATATTAAATGGAAAATTCCAGAAATAAACAATTCATAGGGGCCAGCCCCATGGCGTAGCGGTTAAGTGCGTGTGCTCTGCTGCTGGCGGCCTGGGTTCGGATCCGGGCGTGCACCGATGCACCGCTTGTCAGGCCATGCTGTGGCGGCACCCCACACAAATTGGACGGGCACGGATGTTAGCTTAGGGCCAGTCTTCCTCAGCAAAAAGAGGAGGATTGGCAGGGATGTTAGCTCAGGGCTGACCTTCCTCACAAAAAAAAATAAATAAATAATTCATAAGTTTTAAATTGCACGTTGTTCTGAGTAGCATGATGAAATCTTGTGCCATCCCACTCTGTCCTGCCCGAGATGTGAATCATCCCTTTGTCCAGCATATCCATGCTGTATCAGCTACCCACCTGTCAGTCATTTAGTAGCCATTCTGGGTTATCAGATCGACTGTAGAAGTGTCACAGTATTTGTGTTCAAGTAACCCTAACTTCACTTAATAATGGGCCCAAACAGAGTAGTGATGCCGGCAATTCAGATATGCCAAAGAGAAGCCGTAAGGTGCTTCCTTCAAGTGAAAAGTTCTCAACTTAATAAGGAAAGAAAAAAATCGTATGCTGAGGCTAAGATCTACAGTAAGAATGAATCGTCTATCCACGAAATCGTGAAAGAAAAAGAAAGTCATGCTAGTTTTGCTGTTACACCTCAAACATGTATATATAGGAAAAAACACAGCATAATATAGAGTTCGGTACTATCCGCGGCTTCAGGCACCCAGTGGGCGTCTTGGAATGTATCACCCCACGGATAAGAGGGGACTGCTGTAAACTACTTCTATTTGGCTCTTATAATCACACAACATTCCACTAAGAATTGCCGAAATACATACTGACTGGTATGCTCCTATCACCGTCCTCCCCATTGTCCTAACACACAGACACACACAAAACTGCTTAATAAAAATGAAAACCATCACTTTCAAGTAGAGGGAAAGGTGACTACAAATTTAGTTACTAGGCACAATACTCTAATCGTAGCAGATTAGAAGCAATTCCAATTTCATCTCAATTTTTTGAGGATACCTCAGGCCACACGGCCACACTTCCCTAAACAAGCCATCAGTCTTGCCTAAATTTCACCAGCAGAGTTCAGATCCTAAAGAAAATCTCGGGCCAGCCCCGTGGCTTAGCAGTTAAGTGCACGCGCTCCGCTACTGGCGGCCCGGGGTTCGGATCCCGGGCGCATACTGACACACTGCTTGTCCGGCCATGCTGAGGCCGTGTCCCACATACAGCAACTAGAAGGATGTGCAACTATGACATACGACTATCTACTGGGGCTTTTGGGAAAAAAAGGAGGAGGACTGGCAATAGATGTTAGCTCAGAGCCAGTCTTCCTCAGCAAAAAAAAAAAAAAAGAAAAAGAAAATCTCACTTTCACCATCCAGGCAACCCAACCACACAACAGTAATATTCTGGTTGTTTCTGAGAATAGCCCTGAAATGTCAATTACCCAGAATTCTTGTAGCACTGTACAAAAAGAGCTGCTATCCTCAAGTGACCCTAAACTACTCAAAAACACCAATTTCTGAATCAATGACTAAATCAAATTCAATATAGTTCTCCATTAAAGCACTTTGCCCTGATTTTATGAAAACTGACAACTCACATATAATACATGCACATGTAAAGAAATACCAACTTTCCGGAATATTCAATTAATCAGAACAAAAATATTACTCTACATTATTAGAATAACCAAACCCAACCTTTACATAAAAAGCAAGATCCTGGGGCTGCCCAGTGGCATAGTGGTTAAGTTCTGCGTCCTCCACTTCAGCAGCCTGGGGTTCCCACGTTTGGATCCCAGGCGCAGACCTACACCACTCATCAAGCCATGCTGTGGCGACAACCCACAAACAAAATAGAGGAGGACTGGCACAGATGTTAGCTCAGGGCCAGTCTTCCTCACAGCGAAAAAAAGAAGCAGGATCGTGAAGGGCCTCTAATTTTTACCTATATAACTGAAGTTATCATATAACAACCATGATGATTTCAAAAATTAGCTAGTTAAAGCTAATATAAGTGAAGAAAAAGCACAGTTCAGCTTAAATCACGGTTCAGTTTAACATCAAATTATTAATATGGTTACCTATTCATAGTTCCAGATACATCAACATCATTCATAAAGCATTCGATGCTCAAAGGGAGGTCTGAACCATTTGCACTCATCAATTTCTTGAGTTTCTCACACTCCTGAGACAGTCGTAATAATGCACGGATTTTGGACTTTATATCTAGCTTGTATTTCTTCCCAAATTCTTCACAGAAGTGATTTACTAACACCTCATCAAATTTTCTGCCTCCCAGTGTTGTGTCAAATGCAGTGGCCAGAACCTTAGAAAAAAGATAATTAATTCAAAAATTAACCAATCAATGTAAAATTTTATCATGATACATACTTAACTGGTAAACTGTAATAAAAAGAGAGGAAGACATTAAGGTTGAAACAAGGCAAGGTGCATGTGTCATTTAACCATTGTTACAATCACTGTGAAAAGAGACATTATAATCCCCGATTTATAGATGATGCTACAGGCCTAGACAGATCAGATAATCTGCAGGTCACAAAGCTACTAAGTGGTAAAAGTGGAATATATCTTCTCAATTCCAAATCCATGTCCTCTCCATTACACCAATCTGACTCCAAACAGCAATTACACACCCAAGGCCAAATACACTAACATGTCACGTACACAATTCTAGTCTCATTACTATCACAAAACTGTGAATAATACCAAAGGCCCAGCTCTATGCAGTTTACTACCAGGAAAGACGCTAAGGCCTTAACTCACAGCAATTTGTTTTTATTTAACACAGAAGTCTAATTAGCTTGGGTTATCCATTTTCCAAATCTCCAGCTCCGCTACGGGTGGCCCGGGTTCGGATCCCGGGCGCACACCGACGCACCGCTTCTCCCGCCATGC